AGGGGGAGTGTAGAGAACACTGATGTGGGCCCTATGGCTGTGGTCCCCACTGTGTTCGTATGACAGCATGTGTAACCTTTGTTAGTCATGTCAGTGTTAGYTGGTAGTTATCTTAGACAGCTTGTTATTTCAGTTTGTTATTTATTTCAGTCTTTTATTTGTTTTATTTGCCATGTAAGTATTAAGGGCAGTTCTGCCTTTCCTACATGTAGTGAACATAACCTATAAATATTAAGAGAATGGCGGCGGCAGACTCATTCAATCTGTCCCTCCTTTCAAAACCCTTGTGCACTTCTGCTTCTTCTCCTTTCTTCTCCTTTCTTCTTCCTCTTCCTTCTATTTTTTCTCAATCCGAAATCAGTTGGGATTCAAGACTGATTGTAGTCTTGATCGACTACTGTCTCTACAGGTTCATATTGGATTGGGTATGATCCATTGTTGCATTAAAATAAATCAAACTTTCTTCTTTTTCTATTGGATTTGGATCGGGTTGGAGCCATATTACTTCTAATGGATTCATACTGGATTTGGGTGAATTGGACCAAAACCTGGTCCCATGACAGCCCTACTGGGCACAAATTCTTTGTTTATCATTTATTCTCTTGTTTAATAAAATTTTCAGCAGCTACTGATTTAAAAAGGAAAAAATTATGTGCCTGTAGTTTGTTGAATTTTGGTGATTTCTCGTCTATTCTGAACGGTTGATGTGGGTCTTTTCCATATGGGTGCAAGGATATTTGATAAATGGATATGCAGATGGAATTTTTGTGAAGTTGATGAAAATTTTATATTGTTGCCTGCACTTGATTTGTCTGATCTGAATATTATTTGAAGTCAGGAATATTGATTTTCTTATTTGAAGTTAACTATTGATGATATAAAGTGTACAGAAATCACCAAAATCACAAGTTTTATATTATATTACATCTGTACTTTATTCTTTTATTTCTAAATTTTTATTATGGTGTCATATTTGGTGGTTTGTGTGGCAATTGAAAATGAATTGATGACCCTTGACCAAGCCCCTTTATGTGTTGTCTTCTGGTAGTCTCTGACTATGCTCTACATTAGGAAAAACAAAGAACATCTAATTAGTAGATTGAAATTTGTGGTGTGTGAATTCTTATTTGTCCTTTCTTCCACTATTTTCTACTAAAAAGTTTGTTACTTTATCAATTGAGTTCTTTGGTGCATGAAGAATCTAATCAGAGAAATTATTTTCATCTACTAATATGATTGCAAAAATGGTACCTACAGCCAAATGTTCGGAGCTCTTGGGAAGAGCAAAGAAGTTCTGTATGATTGTAGTGTGGATCCACCTTTTGTCGGGTATTTTCATATCTTGTATTGATTTGTTCATGGCATTACTGAATCCACTTTTAATGTAATTGTACTGAGTTCCTCTGGTTGACTGAAGGTATGCAAGGCCATGGAGAGATATTAATAGTGGTAATTCATATTGTCTCTTCTTCCCATACTCACCAGAGCATTTGGTGCATTCTATACCCAAGACAAAGGCTATGAGACCAGATGTATCTGTCTCTATTAGTGCTTCATTGAGGGAAGCTGAATATGTTATGGGATCTGCAACTGCTCTTTTTGTTGGAGGATTTTCTATTTTGGAAATGGACAAGGTACATATATCATGTATTAAACAGACAAGTGATGTTCATAATCAGTATTCACATATAACATTGATCAATGTTCTGGATGACTTACTTTCATCTAAATATAGGTATGAGACACCTATTGTCCTGCTAAAATTCTTGTGCCAAGGGCAACCTGCATGTCTTGGCAATATGCAGTATTTTCCAAGTGTTGGCACTTGGGAATACTACAAAAACCTATATATGCGGAACTAATTCTCTTGGCAGACACCTTTGTAAGTTCAGGGGATTGACTGTAACAGCTTTAGCTTTATTATATTTTTTATCACTAGTGTTATTAAGCATCAATATTTGCATCAGTTCAAAATTAACCATGAAGGTTATGACATGTTGGAATGGAGTACTCTAGGTGATAGGATGGATCCTGCAAGACCAGTCAATAGAGAGACTGGACAAATTTGTTCTTACTTTCTGACACTGTAAACATTTGTGTTGAGATGCTTTCCTTTTCCAGGGTTTAATGCAGTTGAATCTGACACCTGAATCCAACAAGAGCATCATAAATATTGTGGGGAATACAGGTAAATACCAATAAATACATTTGGCATGTAAATTTGGGAGGGAATATTAGCATTGCATCAAGATAAGAAGAAGGGAATAAATGGTCTGCCTGTTTCTTTCTGGGCATGTGGCATGCATATATAGTATAGCTTAGATGTAGCTCAGGCAGTTCCAAAATTTTAATGCAAGCAATGCTCTGAATCATTTTATCCATCGAGTTATTAATCAGCAGAATGCAACAGATGGGATAAGATGTATCATTCAATTATATACACTTTCCTTTTAGAGGAAAATTTTCACAAATAACAGATCAACATGAACCTTACTATTAGAAGGAAAGAATGCCTGAGTACAAGAAATACCAGTTGCTAGGCTATTAGGCTAAGAGAAACCAACAGCTCTCAATAGACACAATCCAAACTATGCATCTCCATTAGCATGACATTTGTATTATGATTTCATAGGCATGGCGTTTATTTGGTGTTGCTATCATCATCATCATCATCATCATCCATGCCTTGTCCCAACTATATGGGGTCAGCTACATGAATCCTGTTTTGCCACTCTATTCTATTTAAAACCATATCCACTGTTTACTACTTCTACACATGTCCTTTTTGATCTACCCCTAGCTCTTCTAGCCCCTTCCACTTGTAACAAATCACTTCTAATTGGAGATGTTGGTGGTCTTCTATGCATGTGATGAAACCATCTTAGTCTACTCTCTCATTTTATCGCTTACTGGAGCTACTCCTGGGTTTCTACTGATGGCTTTATTTGGTGTTGTTATGTTGAGTATCATTTCCATGCATGTGACTTGTGGCAATAGGAATTGCATGACTTTTTTCTTTTCCACCTTGCGGCAAATATTGCTATTAGATTAGCAATTATGACTGATTAACTGGTTCCAATATTTTATAGATGTGGAGGTCCATCAGCAAGGCAGGGATCTTATACAGGTCAGCCCCATCTACAAAGAAGATTTTGGGATCGGTGGGCGTGTAGGATACGAGGTAAGCACAAAATACTTTTCTGCTCTCCAACTTTTTCCTGATTTAATTGTCAATGATGCAATTTTATCAAAATATGGTATTATGGGTTAGTTTCATTATCTTGTTATCTCCATTTCTCTTATTGCTAACTGCAGGTCAAAGTTTTAAAAACTGAGAGAATCAAAGAGACGGTCACCATTACGCTCCCAGCTACTGGTATGGCTACCTTATTCTGAAAAGTGGCCAGAGCTTAATGTACTTACTAGGAATTTATCATTTTAGTATTTCTTTCTGAATGTCTGCATTTTCTTCCATGGTTTCAGGAAGTTTATGCATTATTTTTTTTTATCAATGGAAGTTTATGCATTATTTATGCATTATTTGGGAGTATTATTTGAACATTTACCATGGTTGAAGGAACTAGTTTAACTAAAACCATAATTAAATTACAATTTTCTATTCTTTGTTAGAAAAATATGATTAATAGCATCAAAATTATAGGAAGACACATTAAGCCATCCTCCAGCTGTGCCATGTGCTTGGCACCCCACACCCCAGCAGTCATTCTGGAATACAATGATTGAACATTTTAGATATGCAACCTGATAAGATGATCTTACATAACCATCCCATCGATCTTAGCCTTTTGCCTCGGGAATGAGTGATTAAGAAAAGGTATTATAGACTGGACAGTTACATCCATATTGTGAGGTCAATTAGATCATAGAGGGTGCTTCATACTTTGGTTCTTGTAATAAAGCAGTAACTCTTCCAATGCTTTCTCAATTTGAAGGGCCCTCAGTGAGATCGAGTATTGAGGTTTGTTAATGGTTTCTGTTACAGGTCAAAGAGCAGAGATAATTGTAAGCTATGAGCCTGGAGAAAGTGAAGCATCACCAACCAGGAGTTTTGCCCTATGGGCCAGTATATTTGGATTTTTTACCATTTCTATATTGACTTTAGCCATCTTCATGTGGTTCCTGGACAAACCTGCTCGGCCTTCTGTTCCTGCCACACCAAATATTGCAGCGCCCACCACCCCTGATCGTAGTAGTCCTGCAAGTTATAACATGCAGCAGTCCCCGCGGACACCACAACCATTTGTAGATTATGTGAGGAGAACGATAGATGAAACCCCATACTATAAGCGGGAAGGGAGAAGGAGGTTTAATCCACAGAATACATTCTAGAATTGTGGATTTGGGAATTCTGTTGACATGCATAATAGAATGTCATCCAGAGAAGGTGCAAAGCTCTTTTGTTCTCCAAAATGTGGTATATTTGTGGTTCAAACTATAAGAGTTAAAGATTAAAAGTTTGGAAGGTGCCACCAAATTTTTTGGTGTGCGCCTGGAAAAATTTTGTAGATCCAGTCTAACGATGTGTTACCGGTAATGCTTCTATTTGCTTTGATCTTGCCATTGAAGTAATTCCCAAACTTTTTCTATTGATGGAATGGCATTTCCCCATTGGCCTCTCCTTTAGGAATGGGAATCCATTCTGGCTGATTTTAATTCTGATTTCAATTCTTGTTTGAACCAAACAGGTGGAAAGAATAGACCATCACAGTTCTAATTCTGATTCTGATGGATTTCAATTCAGACTATAAATCAAACGAACCCTTGAATCAGTCGTTTATTTAGGCAAAATTTTGTGCATTGACTAAAATGCCTTGTTGGGCTAAAAAATGACAATGAAATCGTACCATTGCAGGAGATTCTCTTTCAAACAGCTTCACCCAGAAAACGTACGGTAAAAATGACAATGAAATCCTCATGTGAAAGATTTAATGAACCAAGGAGGAAATTTCTCTTAAAATCCATTGTCGAAATGACCAATCCTAAAATCTAAGAAACTGCTTTTCCTTTCTTAAGCTTCAGTTACCCTTTTGATAGGTCTAATTGAAAGGCAGAGCATTAGAAAAAAAATGGATCTTTCAACCGTTTAGGTGGGAAATATGGTAGGAACTAGGGAATGAATCTAATACGAGGGACTGCAAATGAGATAGCGAGAATCAAGTTGATGTGCAAATTTATTTCTTAATTATCTAAAAAGGTTATTAAACTGGAATATATTAATTTGGACAAAATTGAGAAGAACAGAATGGAACAGAAAAATAGGCAATAATGATAAAAAATTCACAGAGCTTAATATGATAATGGATATATTGCATGGTAACATATTATCTTGGTATTGGATTTCAACAGTCAACACTACTGAAATTGCAGCGGCTACCTTGGTAGGGATATGCACCAAGGAACTACCTCATTCAATCACATCACATATTAGAAGAAAAGTTCTTAATATAGACTTTGAAGGCCTCCTTGATGCCAAACCGTCTCGCCTATGTAGCCTTTTAAATCCTAAAACTTTGGACTGAATTGTAAATATTTGATGAATGATAAAATCTATGGTGCATATAAATAAAAAAAAAAACTTGAAATAATGATAAAGGGATACTTAATAGTTGAAACTTTTAACATTATTAAAGTCTTTAATGATAAATACATCTAAAATGTGATTTTTTATAATGTCAACTATTTTATTTTTATTTTTTTATTTAAAAAATTGAATTAAAATAATTAAAATTTACAATCCTATTAAAAATCTAAATATATTCAAACATATATATATATATATGTTAGTGGGGATCCCCACAGGATAGGGATCGGGGGCCCTGTGGGGCAGGGAGAACTTTATATATATACATACTAGTGGGGATCCTCACAGGATAGGGATCAGGAGCTTGAGAGTGCTCTCCCCATTCTCATCCCATTCAGGGCAGGTCCTCGTTAGGATTAGGGAAATGGGGAAAATTGCTATCCCTAGTAGAGACTTAGGATGATGGCTCATTTGATAGGATTTTATTAGGGCTGGTGGGTCAAGTGGTGGGGGATGAGTGCCTGTTGTGTAGCTCTATGGAAAAAAAAAGCAAATATTCAAAATACATGATAGATAATCCTTAATCTTGATAGATAATAGGGTAAAATATAAAAAACCCCCTTGAGATTCCTTACAATCATAAAACCTCCCATAAGGTTTCATTTTTACAAAATTCTCCCCTGTATCATTGAAAAAACCTGTAGTTACCTCCTTTTTATTATTGTCTTGGAGGTAAAACGTTGTTAAATGCATTAGTTTTTAGAGGTACCCAGGAAAGTAAAGAACAAGAAGCAGAAAAAAATTGTGTGATGAGTCTTTTAATTGAGGGCAATTTTGTTCTAGAAAATTAAAAATCTTTCCCACTCACTTTTTTTTGTCATTTTAAAAACATAATTGATTTTGTCAAATGACCAAACTTGTTCATTTATTTTATTAGAAATCCTTATATCTATCAATTCAAATGAATATTAATCAAAATCCCTCAAAAAGAATTTTTCACTTTTAATTAAAAAAAAAATCCAAGTTAGATCGGAAAGAATAAAGTAATTTTACTCTAGTGAAATCTAAGAAGTCTAAGAGGGCAAATCTGGACTTTTGCATTATACTAACAGATGCCCTAAATAGTAATAATATGAGAGAAAATCTAATAATGCCGGAAAGACATACCACGCGAAAGGCTTTAACTAATCAGTAATCACAAGATCAAAACGAGGAAAGCATCCTTGACCTTTCTCGGTAGAAAAAATTTCGATGGTGGATGAAAGAGCCACGTTGCCTACAATCCCTTGAAGTAAAATTGAATTCGTTGCCACACGTGATCATGAGACCATAGGTCCACAAATCACAAATGCACGATGCGGTGATGCAGAGATTTTTTTATTTTCTGGTTCTCTTCGTTCTGTCCACACATTTACTTACACACACGTAATGCACAACCAGAGACACAGAGATAGGGAGAATGGCGATGATGGCGTCGTCAACCCTCGTTTCATTTCAGAAGGTGCGCAAAGGCCAGTGTTAGTGGCCTCTTCTTTTCTTCGCCGTTCATCCATTTCTTCGTTACGACTAAAATCAATTTCCAAAATTGAAAATTTTTGCAATCACAGGGACTTCAGGTTTTCTGCAAAAAGAAAGATAGAGATCGAGATATTTATCCCTACAAGGTCATTGAAATTACTCCTCCACCTAAGAACCTTGGCATTCGTTGCTTTCCCTCCGTGAGTAATCTGAGCTCTTTCCTTGTTCTACTTTATATCATATATGTCCTACATTTTTTTGGATTATATTTCAAGTGAACGTAGAATGGTTAAACGGGTACTCTTCCCCGAGAGTAATACGTTTTTAGACAAATCGATCATTCCCGTCAGATAATGCCCCCCCAAGTAAATTGTATGGTTATATTATACATATCTGTAGGTTCGAACAGCAAACTTAATTGCAAATGTGATGTGAAAATGAGAAGAAAAAAGGAAAGGAGGAAAAAATGCATATAGAAGTAGAAAGGACTAACTTTTTGAATTTTCCATTTTTAAGAGTAACAGAGTCTTATCGTATTTGTTGTTTTGTAATGTAGAAGTTTATAGTGTTCTCTCCGTCAAGGAAAGAGGACAGAGATCAAGTTATAGTCTTTTTATGCATTTTGATTCAAAGCCTTACTTTTTTATGCATTTTTATTGCCTAGTTACCTAAGTGATGGTTGGTGGTTGCAATAGAACCTAGGGAATTGACCTGACCTAGGATTCATTTATTTGAAAAAATAAAAAATCCATTGCTTAGGTGACTAGGCAACGACCCCCCCCCCCGGTTGCCTAGCCTCATCATCCAAGCCTTATCCCAACTATATGAGGTTGGCTACATGAATCTTGTTTTGCCATTTTGCTCTGTTTAATGCCATGAGCTAGTGACCAAATTGATTGGCTTTGTTCACTTTAGAAAAAATAGAAGGACCAAGTTAGCAATAGGTTTAGTTCTGAAGTCTTTGATATTGAAAGAGGAGAGGCAGAATTATGTGGAGGTGTACAAGAGCAGCAGCGTTATGGACTCTATGGGAGGAAAGGAACACAAGAATCTTTGAGGGGAAAGAGCAGATAAGGAGGTTCCTATTGAATACCTCACAATGAAGTTAGCACAGTAGGTGAAGACATTAGACTTCAAGCTGTCAGGGGTGTGGTCCACCTGCACCCAAAACAAGCAAGATAGCGAGCAAGTGGACAGGAGATTAGTAAGTGGTACACAGTTTCACCATTCAATTTATACATGATACACCGGACTGTAGAAATGGGAGTGCAATTGCATCTAAGAAACCAAAGATAAAGGAGTGGAGATTCTATCAGGGAAAAGCTTATGACAGCAGTGTTTCGGGTGCAAAAGGCCTAAGAAATGGGAATTGATAGACTGATTATTGAATATGACTCAAAGTAATCATTAGCTGGTTAATGAAGAGCAGAAAATCTAACTGGAGCTACAGAAATGGAATTATAAGATTTAATTGGTTATCAATAGATATGCAACTAGAAATACAGTGGGTTCTAAAAGGTCAGCCAACAGCCTAATCGATGCGTTAGCAAAACAAGGGGTGACTAGACAAACAGTTCTTTTGGGCTCAATTGTAAAAAATTTGTAATGGGAGAGATAGCAGGGGCTATGCTCTCTAATTCTAATTGAATTGTAAACCACAACCTCTTGTTGTACCTCATTGTTTCTTAATTAACAAAATTTCTGTTTTCTGTTGCCGATCAAAAACAAGAAGTCTTGGATATCGAAAATTCTATTGGAGAAAATCTCCTTAGCTAATTAACCATTGCTGAGTAAATGATCTGTCCTCTTCCATGTAACTATTGCATATGGGGGCTTTGCACCAGGGAATTTCACAGTTGTATCTGTGGGAATATTTCTCTTAAGGACTTGCCAAGAAGGAGATCTTCTTTGGGATTGCCTGGTGCTAAAATCAATTGTCTCCTACCAGATTATCAGTTTGATCCCATTGCAGAGGCAGAGAACCAACTGTTGTTACTTGAGGTCCAGATAAATTTAACCTTTCCATTAGAGAATCTGATCTTATTTTCTTCTAGATCATTAATGCTGTGGTCATGGAGAGATCATCCAAAGATGCTTCTATTCCACTTGCTTTCAGTCCCTATCACTTCTAATTGAAGCCTTTATTAATATTTGGATCTGTCACTGGGTCCACAAGGTACAGATCTGCACACCATTTATCATACCAGAAGCTTATGTTTCCTTTGGAGACATCTAATAAAATTGGAATGATATTACCTTGACTATTCGTTTTGAGGGTGAAGTTTTGTTTCCATATCACTGTATCAGTTGGCCTTCTCTTGTCTAATAAAAAACGATAAGCTTTCAGATACTTTTTCTTCATATATTTATCCCCAAAGCCCTTACCTTGGAGGAGATGCCACCCTAACTTGAGTTTCAGAATGGGTTCAATATCTTTGATTGTTCTAATTCCTAGTCCTCCTCCTTTTAGGGGTTTGATGATCTTGGACCAAACAACCCAGTACTTGCACTTACCATACTTGTGCTTTTTCAAGAGAAAAGCTTTAAAAAATTCTTTCAATTGTCGGACAACATGGTTCATAAGGGAGAGGGCGAAAATAATGCAAATAGGATTATTAGAAAGGACAAGTTTTACCAACACCATTCTTGCACTCTGAGAAAGGGATTTTTTTGCTCCTACTCACCAACTTTTTAATGAATCAGGCATATGATGGGAAGGAAGAGGATATTTTTTCAAATGGCCTTGATATAAAGGAATACCCTGGTATTTTGTTGGGAGGGAAGCTCTTCTGAAACTTCTTTTAGAACCGATACTCTCTCCTTTAGTAATAAGAGATTTGCTGCAAATGAAAATTCAACTGTTGCTTCTATTTACTATTTGGCAATATGCCTTTTCATAAATATCAATGTATTTCAAGAAAACTTCTACTGATTTCTTGCTGCCATTCATAAAAATGATTGCATCGGAAAAAAGGTGAGTGACAGACAGATAGTTAATGATCTTTTCAGCAATTATAAGGAAGCTGGAGAGAGAATGCCTCCCTGAGGCAGGCCCCTTGTAGTAAATAAGCCTATCTTTTGGAAACCTGTTAATCATGTCTGAGAGGTGGCAATTGCAAAAGCAGTTATTCACAAAATGGGACCGATTAAATTTGAAACCCAAAGTTTCAAGTACCTTCCAAAGGAAGGGCCACTCCATCTTGTCATAGGCTTTTTCCATATTAAGCTTTGATTCCAAATTTGGTCCCACTTTGCCCTGGCTTTCCTATTCAGTGCCGAAAGCAGTTCCTTAGCAAGGAAAATCACCCTGTTCTTGAGATATCATCTTGAGAAGGACATTCACCAACCTGATAGCAGAGATTTTTGAAATAACCTCTAGCAAAGATGCAGAAACTTGTTGTACAGAATTCAACCAAGTGGTCATAACCTATGATACCTGAATACCTTTACATTCCTAGCATACCGGTATAGAACACAATAGATTTCTTATGGTATGATTTGCCATCTCCATCAAGAATTAAGCATTGCAGCTGCCACGTTTACAGTTGAGTTGCACCAATTCTCCCATACATATTTCCGATTCTTTTATAGGAATTTATCAACGTGAATTTTTTCTAGGATTGTTTGTGCCACCAAGGCATGCTACATTATCTTACTTTATCAATAAATAAATTAGAAGCTTCCCTGTTGAACTCTCTGATCATAGGTCATATATGAAACTTTCACTGTAGGGAGTACGAAATGATGAAATTCCAAACACCCAACATTTCATGTATGCATACAGTTTAAAACTGAAATTTATAATTGTTACCTCTTCCTTTTTCTTTCTCTTTGAGTTCAAAGTAAACTCCCATTTTATTTGTCACAAGCAACCCTTAGTGATGAAGAATATTGTAGCAACAGGTCAATAATGTTCTGTAGGAGTAGTTATATATGGAAGTTTGCATTAAGATATGTATCCTATTTCTTTTATTCAGTCCTGCTGAAATTGAGGGAAAAAAGAAAGAGCCCTTTCCATTTCCAATTTAGTTGTAGGTGTTTGAGATTGGCACAACTCAGGAGTCAGATGCTTTAATACTTAATTCAGAATTCAGATCCATGATCCTAGTTTCATCAATGGTTTTCTAATTGTAGTACAGTCCAATATCTGGTAATACACAAGGGCAGCTTGTCGTATCCAATGCTTGATTGAATAATCCATATTAATATATGGATTATAATGTGCAAGCCATGGGATGAAGGGAGCACAATATGTAGCTTTGCTTGTGTCCTGCATCTACATGTTGACCCTTGACCCATTGAGTGGATTGGTGGGATCATCATAAATTTTGGAATTTGGACACTAACCATATGACGGTTGCAGATGCAAAAGTTCTGTCACAACTTTCACATCATGGCATGAGAATACCCTCTGATTAATTATTTAAGTGCTGCAAGACACCATTAGAAAAACAAACCCCAGAGACAAAAAGCGTTTTGAGGCATTTTTCTTATTTTTCTCTTGTTTGTGTGTTTCTCTTTGGCAGAATATACATTGCGGGGAGAGTGTGACAATCGAAGGCCAAGCTTACACAATTTCAGCTGTAATTCATCGGTACCAACTTCGAAAGGGAAAGTATGAACCCAGTGAGAAGCGGCTTGATGTGCAGTCGACTGGGAGATACATTCTAAATATGTATCTGGAGAATCTGCTAGAGCAATCTTGACATTGATTGTTGCCTAAATTCAGAGTAAATTATTAAGTCTTCAGTCATTTTACCATCCATTATACATCGCCCCACCCTTCACCAGCAAATTAGATTGTTGCTTTCTCCCTTTTATGTGGGGGTGGGGGGTGGTTAAAGTGGATGAAGCTGTGTTACCTTTATAATATTCCACTTGGTCGGTGTGTATCAGTGTATGTATAGACTTAACATCTATAACCAAATGCCCGCTTCACCGTCTGGTGTAAAATACTTCCCTATTTGAATGTGAGATTGCTAGAAAATTGTTTAATAACTGAACCAGAATTCTGTTAATGTGTCATTTCTTAATACTAAGCTGAGTCCCTATACAAGATTAAGGCTACATTTGGCATTCCTTATTTTAAGGATTTGTCTCCTTTCCTGGTGTTCATAGTGACATTTAAACTACAAAAATGAGATACTAAATGCAGCTTAAGGGCCTGTTTGTTTGCTCTGAAGTCTGACATCTAAAAGTGTAATAATTACATTAAGACGCATATTGGTATTAGTGAACTTTTCTTTCTTTTGAACTCAGAATGCAGAGAATGTTGTTCTGAATTCTGAATTCTAAAAATTATCAAATATCCATTTTGACCCCATACAGGAGTGTTTTTATTTATCTTTTTGGGGGTATCATTGAAAAACAAAAAGTTGTATGATTATACTTTTAAGAGATAAGAGGAAACAAACAACCATTTTTCTCTTAAAATTAAAAGATTATTCTTAAGAGATAAGAATTAAGAGAAAACAAGCATGCCCTAAAAGTAGTTGTTGTTTTTAAAATCTCACCTAATGTAATCTAGCAATCATCGCCGAGGAAATGTATTTCAAAATTGCAGAACCACCATTGATTCCAACTATCATCGCTGAAAATCTCAAAACTAAATTATTATGAGATATCATAAGCAAAGTAATAAATACACTGTTACAAGTTACCACGAACTTCTTCACCTGTTTTGGTTTTAATTCTTGAAGTATCTGATATAGACAATATGTTTTCTGAGCTTTCTAGGCTTTCCAGTTCCTTCAAATGTATTCGGTTGTGTTTGGTTGCAGTGCAAATTTATTTGCACTAGTACAAATGCATGAGAGTGTAAATATAAAAAATGCAAATTCTTGTTTAATTTTGTTTTGGATTTTATTTTATTCTGTTTCATGCTTTAATTTACCTTATTTGTATTGCAATCAAACAAAAGAAGCTAAAATTTGAAATAAAATAGGTTAGAATTTGCATTGTCATAGTTTTACATCAATGCAAATTTATTTGCATTGCAACCAAACACAGCCTCAGTGATACCTTTTTTTGATAATAAAATTATTCAGTGACGATGATACAGGTCTCCGCTTTCGGGTTGTCGTCATCATGTGTTAATACCCTTTATGGGCTGTCCATGTCTCCATGACCTAACTAGTTGAGCTCATTCGCGAATTTGGCTGGTCTGGCTTGAGACTTGGACTCGATTTTAAAGCTCAAGAGCCGACTCCCAAATCCTCAAGATCATAATTTAGTTAAAAAGCTTCACCTCACCAGATCCGAGGGAAGCGTCTAATCAGTTGGATTAGGTACCCTTATGTTTTCTACGCAACCTGAACCTCTATATATATCTGCAACTTGGAAGAATGATGTTGTTGATGTCCACCCATCCAAATATTGGATGGATTAGTTCCAGATTCATCACTTCAATCTGTAATCTTGTACTGGTGTTACTTTAGTTATTATTAGTTAGCTCCAAACCCACTTTCCTCAGCTGAAAAGTTTGAGCTTTATTAAAAGGGGAGAGGACCCTAACCCTACCCAGTCACACTCACCCAAAGCAAAACCTGACCTCCTGGCTCCTGGACGGTGGGCTTCACTCTATAGTCTCTATACAATCAATCAAATCCACCTATGCAGCCTAACCCAAGACTCAAGCCTGAGCCCTGAGCCGAATTGTGCAGGATTGACATGAGAATGGGATAGAGTGCTTACTAGACAAGTGGCAAGCTAATGACACCCCCACGTTATATACCGCCGTAAGGTAGGGGGGTGGAACCCATGTGCGTGCGAGTCAGTAGTTTGTTAAGCCCCAGATCCTGGATTTCCCGCCGTCTACACTCTACAGATACAGCCCTATGGGCTATGGGCTATGGGCTATGATACCCTAAATTTATAAAACAAAAGAAACGGATAAGTAGACGACTGTACAGTGCAGATTGAAAGTGATTGTTTACTTGCGTCCCAACGAGGTGGGGGATGAAGTTGAAGGAAAAGGTTTCTGAGAGCCAGCGCTTTCCACGTGTAGAGGGGGCTAGGGACGGGCCCACCAGTGAGAAGGAAGGGTAGGTGTTGGGCTTTCTCTTCCCGGGCTTGTCTGCCAATACTTAAAGCGATCATATGATATGATCCAAAGCCTTTCGATCACTGTCGTCGTATTCTTTTGGACAACTCAGGAGTCTGGACATATGAAAATAAGCGCATATCTTTCTTATCCTCCCGTCCTGACGTCAATGTGTTGCTCCTCCTTGTCCTTACTTTGCCCCAATCTACTCCAGTCAATCAATTAAGTTTTAACCCTCTTCTCTCAGACTCCGGATCTGCTTCCCACAACATATTGATGATGGTTCATCCAACGTGGTCAGTAACTGGTAAGCTGAGACTGAGGTGGGTCCGTGCCGTACGGGGTTAAGCGAGATAGAGAGTTAGCTGAACACAATCCTGTTCAAAAAACTGTGAAACCAATTAAAATACACAAAACATTGATTCAACCACTTTACTATGGGTCTCATCCATTCTGATTAAGCATTGGAAGCGTATTTTATTATCATGCGCAGCTATCCACAACTTCACATGCATTTCGCCTTTTCCTTCCGGTTCACGTGCATGCATGTGACACCTCTCCATCTGGCCTCTTCCCCCAAAAAATATGTTATATTTATGATATACTAATGCTGTGGTAACTTAACCTCATGTGAATGTGATTATTTTAAATTAATCTAAATCCAACAAGATTAAAAAAAAAATAACTTAATTAATTAACCATATATAAACCATTTACCTTTGTCTAGTGGCTACTGGCTACTCTTCACTAGATTCCGAGCAATTGGATATTTTACAGTATTGCCTTTTAAAACTGCTGGGATGGATGGCAGTTGAGCTGTTGAGAGCTAATGGTCTTCGCGATGGCTTTTGACCATCCTTTGATTTTAAAAAAATCCCAATCCAATGGTCGTTCGCAAGTCTCGTCCAATCCCGGATTAAAAAACCTGTCCTTTCGTAGAATGGACAGGGCAGCCGACTGTTGGACTGTTAAGTGTTAACGTTATATCATTCATTTTATTGCGGTAGACAAAATACTCTTCTTAGTTTGGGAAAATTCCACTTTAGTACTTAAACTTTGGGGTTCTGTCAAGTTATTATCCCAACTTTCAAATGTGTTATTGTAGTACCTAAATTTTTAAAAAAATGTTCAGTTTATCTCTACCGTTAATCATTATCTGATTATCTGATGGCATGTATAACTTAAAATTTTTGAAAATATCAAAATTATGTTTGAAGAAGATATTATTCATTATCTTCTACCTTAAAACTATAACTATTCATAAGAAATAAACTAGCAATGAACTCTCTGGCGAAATCCTGAATAACTTGTCTGCAACATCCAGGCTTCAACTCATAAACCTCTCATTCAACTGGCCGGTTCACCGGAGAGATTCTGGGTAGCTTCGGGAACCATGGGATATGCATGGCCACGCCCATCATGCACGATTCTAAGCACAGAAGATGGGATGCTCTTTACGTTGTAAGCCTTATGACAATAACGTATGTGTCATGCCATTGCCTCGGTATCAAGATGAGCAAACTTTGCTAATTCCAAAGCACTCCATGCTCAGAAGAAGAACAATAAGAAAGATGCAAAGGGATGCATGCAACTATGCAAGAACTAGGATTGTCGTGGCTACAGCAGATAGCATATAACGCTGTTCTTGATTCATCAATATTCAATAAATAGGTTGCCTGTTGAATGCGGACACATACTGTGCAAACAAATTGGACCTAATAACTTAGGTTAACACAAATTACGGACAATTCATTCCACCTTGCCAAAGTAGTAGACTGCATTTTCTTTTAACCTGTGAAGCAAACCAGATAGTCAAGACCCTGTCGATAGCCATACGATGGGTATTATCCAAAGTCGGCCTGTAGTTCATATTCATGATTAGATAAATGATAACTAGTGATTTACCATTTTTTAGCTTCTCCAAATTCTTTCTTCTAAGCAACTAAATGCTAACAATTGAAATCAAATGATTGAAGAATGAGTTATTATTTACACCTTTTTAATAGGTGATTATCCATACAAACTTACAAAGGATCAGCACCATTAAATGAATTGTTTGCGATCTCCCACTAGAATTGGAACCGATCTCCACCGGAACAACACACATTAAATGAATTGTTTGCAAGTCTCAGCTCCTTTAGCATGAAGAGGTTACCGATCTCCGCTGGTGATGTGCCAGTAAATGAGTTACCGGAAATATCCAGCATTATTAGGGTCAGGGTCGACACATTTGTCAAGGCACTAAATGTCGCCTTTGATGGTGGAACAAGGCCCATGAAAGCATTAAATCCAAGCATAACGATTCGCAAGGAACCGAAACAGAGAGCTTATTTTGTTGAAGCGAGAGAACCTCAGACTAGTCTGGGAAGAGCTCCTATAGCCGAAGGTATTACACCTCGAAGTGCATTGCCTTGAACGCTTAAATGCACGAGCGAAGAACAGTTTGCAAGTGCAGAAGGCAGAGTTCCTCCCAGCATATTCCAATCTAGCCATAGGTACTGAAGCTGTTGAAGTCCCCCGAAATTAGCTGGGATCTCTCTGGTGAACCAATTGAACGAGAGGTTGATGAGTTGAAGCCTGGGTGTTGCAAAGAAGTTATTCGGGATTTCGCCACAGAGTTCATTGGAAGACAAATCCATATACTGAAGATTCTGCGGGATAACACCAGAGTTTCTTCAGGAGAGAATAACAAGGGTTAATTTATTTTGGATGAACAGTCTCAAGTTAGAAAATAACGAATGTCTTCCTCTTTTGAAGGGTAGTTTTGATATTTTCGAAAATTTTAAGTTACATATCACATAACTGACGATTCATTAATACCAGGGACCGATTTAACACTTTTTAAAAGTTTAAGTATTATAATAACACACGTTTGAAAGTTCGGTACTAAATTGACACTACCCCAAAGTTTAAGATATTAAAATGTAATTTTATCTTTTAATTTTCGGACAAGTACGAAATACACACGATGCAGAATTTTGAATTTCAACCCACCTTACTAGTAGCCCTTTCCCCCTATAAATCACATCCTGCCCGTGAATTTGACATCAATTCACGGTCAGGATGCATTCTCCCTATACTTTGGACCTATAAAATTTTGATCTGTGCTGATTGGTCATTCTCCCTTTAATTTTTACCAGGAAAACGCATTAGACTAATAATACATATTTATTCGTGCTCTATCTCTCTCTGATTTTGTTTCTGTTAATTATTCTACTAATTCATTTTTTAATTTTTCAGTAAAAAATAAAAATCCCTCACGCAGGTCGCAGTCTCGGTTGGCCAGTCCTATAGAGAAGAGAGAAAAAGAAAAAGACGGCCTGAAGTATACTTGTATATTACTATTAACAAAGAACTGAGAAGAGAATATCCGAAGATAAAAGACGGATCGCTTTGCATTGCAGTTCATTTGCTTGTGAACTTGGCTTGGATTTGTCTAACCTCTCAAGACGAGAAACGATGAATTAACAGAAATTGGTAGGTAGAGTTCTCCAGCCACAGAGGCCAGCGAACTCCGACTTCTTGCTTCGATCGGATCCAATAAAGCCCTTCTTTTAAGGGAGAAAAGGGAAATCTTTCTCTCTTTTCGAGCTCTGAATGGTCGCATTAACTTTCTAGCCATGAAAGATCGCCCCTGCCGCATTTTAAGATCTTTTCTCTAATCAGCTAGGTAATCTCAGTTCTTTCTCTTTCTTTTTCTTTCCGCATTTTCTCTTCTCTGGGCTCTATTTTCTTTTGCAGTGGTCGGCTTCTGTGAAGTCTAGAATTTTGTTTCTAGTCTTCATTCGATTGCGTATACATTGATTACATCTTCTTCTTCTTCTTCTTTTATTCGTGGCGGGAGAACGTAATCTTTGAGAATCGTCTGTACTGTCTAAGTGATAATGGTGGTTTCTTTAACGTGTCTATACAGATTGGGAAATTAGATTTTGAAGAAAAAAGAAGAAATAGAAAATCTTTGAATTGCTTGGTGTGAGCCTCGTTCTGAGTTGATCTTGCACGGCAGAATCTCTGTCTTGATTCGTCTACTCGCAAGTACGGTTTTAGTTGAGTATCCTGCGTTTGATGGCTACACCTTCGAAACTACAGACCGCCCCCTCTCAAAAACCTATGGTTGCTGACTTGAGTAGCAGTGCGTCGGTGTCGATGCCAGATTGCTCCAAGGAGTTGCTGGCCGATAGAATTCGTTCTTCCTTGAGACTTCATGATTCTGCTCCCTCTTCCAGTTCTAAACCTTCCCCGTTCTCAGCAAAACCACCGCCACGGTCTTCTTCCAAACAGCCGACGAATGGAGCCTCCTCTCCTAAATGTGCAACTGCAACTGCACCGGATCACAATACCAGGACGGCTGGCAATCAAGCGACTCCTGTTATCCATCAGAAGCACTCCCACAGGACAGTCGAAGGTCATTTGCAAAAGGAAGACCTACCAAGTTCGTTTAAAAAATCGCACAAACACAAGGGACAACCTGCAGTTGTGGATTTAAAAGATTGTCCTACCGAAACCATGAATGCAACTCCTAATGAGAAGGTTTTAACAGAAACAGTTCCAGAGCCGGAACCTTGCATCAAACATCCCATTGATGATTCCAAAACTTCTCACTCAAACTTCTTGTCAGAGCAGGCAGATTTTGTTTCAGGCCCTTATAAGAAGCAACATAACAGTCAATTAATATCACAGTCGGGCATCAGCCATTGTCCTAGTCCTGATAACAGTTTCTACACGGCAACTCAATTCACAGAAGCTAAGGACAGTTTTGCTGCCACAGAAGTTAGTGATTGTATCAGCAGTGTGGAAAAATCTAGTGGAAGTGCCAAAGTTAGCAACTCCTGTGATTTTGTAGAGAGCAGGAAGACTAGTATCTGCAGGGGCAGCACTGGCAGTGATGTTAGCGACGAGAGCAGTTCAAGTAGCTTTAGCAATGCTATATACAAACCACACAAAGGGAACGATAGAAGATGGGAGGCCATTCAAGCTGTTCGATCTCGTGATGGGATGTTGGGGTTGAACCACTTTAGGCTTTTGAGAAGGCTAGGCTGTGGTGATATAGGTAGTGTTTACCTATCGGAGTTGAGTGGAACTAGAAGTTATTTCGCCATGAAGGTTATGGATAAAGCAGCTCTAGCAAGTCGAAAGAAGCTTCTGAGGGCTCAGACAGAGAGAGAGATTTTGCAGTCTCTGGATCATCCATTCTTGCCCACTTTATATACACACTTTGAAACAGAGAAGTTCTCTTGCTTAGTGATGGAGTTCTGCCCAGGAGGAGACCTGCATGCACTACGTCAAAGACAACCAGGAAAATATTTTCCTGAGCATGCAGCCAGGTATAATCCCTAATTAGTATATTCTTTTTTTCCCTTAAAAGTAGCAAATGCTTCAAAAGCAATGGGCAGGAGAAATATGTAGATCCAACTCAATTTTGAACTATCTATATAAAGTTTACTGCCCTGTACAGATGAATGGGATGGCATAGGAAGAATAACCTTCTGCTACTTTATGTTTGAAAAGAAAGATGCAAATATATTATGATGGGTAAATCTATGTTGCCAGAAAGACATGATACCTGAAGAGCTTTGACCAATCCCCCCCCCCCCCCCGGGGGTGAACTTTGATGAATACCATCTGATTGCTTACCACTTTTATGAAGGTTTATGGATATCATAGTTGAACCCCTTTATTATTAAATCACACATGCATGTTTGTAAACATTACTAATATAAATATTTCTATTCATATCATAGAATATATTTTAATTTTGTCATTATCCTGATCCTATGCCACTTTACCAGACTGAGATGATCTTTCCCTTTACACAGATCTTTATGAGTGTCTCTAATCGTCCAAACTGGTTTTTACCAGAGCCATTTGTATTTGATTTTGAATCTTTTCTGGATACCATCACAAAAGAGACACCTTTTGAATGGCCTTCCAACTCCTTATGAAATCCACCATAAAAAGTTATCATAAAACAGCATGACCCGATCTCATGTATATAACATAACTAATTGGTACGACAGTGATGATTGTGGAGTGTAGGTAGTTGTTACAAAAACTAAGACAAAAAAGTTGCAATTTCAAAGTCAAATTGCTTCTCAAAGGGTCAAATTTAGAATGACATATTGGCTTAATTTATTGAATTAACTTTGCAATCATGGTGCAGATTTTATGTGGCAGAGGTTCTCCTTGCTCTGGAGTACCTACACATGCTTGGGATCATTTACAGAGACCTTAAACCAGAGAATGTTTTAGTGAGGGAAGATGGCCATATAATGCTTTCAGATTTTGATCTCTCCCTAAGATGTGCAGTCTGCCCAACACTGGTGAAGTCCTCAAACACAAGCATGGACTCAATAAAGAATTCCTTCTGTGTTCAGCCATCTTGCATTGAGCCAACTTGTGCAATCCAACCATCTTGCATACAACCAACATGTTTTGCACCACGTTTCTTTTCAAGCAAGTCCAAGAAAGAAAAGAAATCAAAATCAAAAAATGAAGTTTATAATCAAGTAAGCCCACTCCCGGAGCTTATTGCAGAACCTACAAATGCTCGTTCAATGTCCTTTGTGGGCACTCATGAGTACTTGGCTCCTGAAATCATCAAAGGTGAAGGCCATGGCAGTGCTGTAGATTGGTGGACATTTGGGATCTTTCTCTATGAGCTTTTGTTTGGAAAGACTCCATTCAAAGGATCAGGGAACCGTGCCACTCTCTTCAATGTGATAGGGCAACCCCTGAGGTTTCCAGAATCACCTACTGTGAGTTTTGCTGCAAGAGACTTGATCAGAGGTTTGCTTGTTAAAGAACCACAGCATCGTCTTGCATATAGACGTGGGGCCACCGAAGTTAAGCAACATCCATTCTTTCAAAGTGTGAATTGGGCACTTATCCGGTGTACCAGTCCACCAGAGGTGCCAAAGCCTTTCATGATGGACTTGCCAACGACAACAGAGGTGCCAAAGGCACTGGCAAATGACAAGATGCCAGGAATGGATATGAAACCTTCAGGTAATTATTTAGAGATTGATTTCTTTTGATTCTTGTAATCTGCACCAACTTCATGGTATTGTGGTTGAATGGTTCTTTTCCATGGCAAGGAGATCAGAAATTGTAGCTCCTCCCAACTACACAAGTAAATTCTCTTTATTTTCAGTAAGCATGACAATTCCTGCTGAAATGAGGATAGAACTTGCTGTTCTTTCTTATCCGTCAAACCCTGCTCACTGATATTGTAAATGATGTATCTGATTGGAAAGTCTGGAAGTTTTATCATTATTCAAGGATCCCATACTTACTCATATATACAGAAATTTTCACTTGCTCACACTGAAAAATCAGCCAATCACAGTTAGATGGAACCTATTTAAATATCTTTACTATTCGGAGATGTTGGAATGAATAATGAGGAGAGCTTCGGTTCATGATCATATGATCTAATCAATGTAGTCCTAAATTTCAACTATTCAATATTGAATTTTTGGTTTATATGCTAGCCTAAGGCCTACTGCTTCTCTGAACCAGAGAATTTAAGTATATTGTCTGTATTTGAAATTTTGCATACCTCAAAGCAAACGTTCCACAAAGAAATTAAAAAAAAAAAAAAAAAAAAAAAAAGATAATAGTTACTACTGTTGAAAAATATAAGGTTCTACACCAAATTGTGGGATCTTTGAAACCCTAGCTACTTCTCATCATAAATGAGGTCCTTATCTTATAACTGGAAGCTTGTATCAACTCAAGGATGACTTAGATTTATGATTTGAATAAGATACAGAAGAATTAGATAATTCTGATCAAGATGTTCAAGGTGTGACACCAAGTCCAACATGTTCCTAATTCTGCAACTTTTTACTGCTATTGATGTGGGGCCCATTTTATTCTGATCTGGAGAGTCCATTAAAAAGGATATCTAGAACGCTTTAATTAAACATCTCATGGTTTGACATGCAGTTTCCCTGAATTTGGGCTATATGAAGGGATGTTTATTGTTATTTACAGATTAATTACACACTTAAACATGCCTCTTTAAGACTTTCTTAGACTTTATGGATACAATTAGAATATTGCAACTTCAGGAAGCATAACATTACTTTAGACAAAGGGCTGGCGATTGTGAATTCAGAGTCTTGGCCACCATGGTGAGAAAAGGGTACTTAAGTCCAATGACTTCAACATTTTGTTAGTATAGACTCTTGACTTCCTTGTTGCCACTGATGCTTGATGATTTGGATACAAGATAAGATGATTAAATGCCCATTTGGGAGGGCTTGATGATTTGGATACAAGATGAGATGATTAAATGCCCATTTGGGAGGGCTTTCACACATTGGCTTTTGGTGCTGTATGAGCCAAGAAACCTGAAAAGTCATGAAGGCCTGTTTGGTAAAAATCCAGAAAGTCGAAAATAGGTTTACACGAGCCCAAAAATCAACTTTCCAGTGAAGCCATCATAGGTATCTTCTCAGAAGCGGCTCTGTCAACACAGCTCATCACCGCAGAAGCCCTCCCAAACGGGCTCTAAAGCTAAAGTTATTCGAATTCTTTTTTATTTTGCCCCATCATAGGCACAGAATTGATTGATAGTTCAACATTCTTGATGAAAGGATTTGCAGCATTCAATGAAAACTGTTAAGAACTTGTAGGAAAGTCCTTTTAGATCTGTCATTAAGAATTACTGATCATTTTATGTATTCCCACTTCAAAATTTATAGACAACATATGTTTGGTCATTGTATGTTATATAAAAGTACTCTTTGCAGTAATACTAAATTACTAATACCATGAGCAATAAACTTTAAACAGAAAAGAACAAACTGGGTATACAGATAAATTGAAACAAGATTCTTAAGATTTCTAAAGATCCTTGAAAACTTGTTGACATTTGGAAGTCAGGTTGTTGTTGTGGCTACAGTAGGGCACTTATACTGTAGTCGATCTTGTCATTGGTTAGTAGGTATACGGATTGTTGGGTCACCCACAAAGTGATTGTTGTGGGTGGTTCAGTGGAATGCACACACCCACAACTTTCTAGTTCCTTGTCACAATTCATTATCTTTAATAGTATCTTAAAAAATTTTCATATAGAATTTTATATATCATAGTATCAGATTTTGAGGAAAGCATCATATAGTCTTAGAAGCATATGCCTCAATAAATGACTGAAAAACAAACATTCAAAGAAGCTCCTTTCTGCATTTTGTGTCATTTTCCGCTGTGCTAGAGAAGGATTCTATCCCATCATCTGTTGTCCTACAACTACAACATTTCTGCAACCAAAGACAACGTTGACGGTTGACCTCACAAAAATCTGCGCTTTTTTTTTGGACAAATTTACCATCCCCAGACCCTTCTCAACCGCCTGCAGAAGTAATTCAATCCGTCAGCAATAAGTCCTTTGGGAGTTGCAATGTAAAATTATTCATGTTACGATAGGAGCAGGAAACTTTTCTGGAAGGCACGAAGGAAAAATCAAGTGATCAAATGAATGTCGGCATCTTTAGGTTCTCTGCTCCCAATAACTGGAGAACAATAACGCAGAGAGTGCAGAGGGATATTTGAAGCCCTGCTCCTTTAGCTTCCAAGCAATGGCTAATTAAAAGCAAATATCAACTATTAACGAGATGATTATGTGTGAGCACTCCAATTGAATGGTTACAGGAGAGATTAAGGGTCTCTTTGGTTTGCAGTCGGAATTAGAATCAGAATTGTCTATTCCCAGCATAGTCTGTTTGGTTATAGAAATGAGAATAAAAATTGGAATCAGCAGGAATGGAATTTCATTCTCAAGGGAGGGGGGAGAGGATGGTCATTCCTTTAAATGAGGGAATGTCTTTCTACCAGGAATAGAAATGAAATTTCGATTCCACTCAACCAAACAATTAAAAATTCAGTTAAAATTGGAATAACCCATTCCGAATCCAATTTCAGACCCCTAATCCCGCAAAACAAATGGGCATAAACCACCAGACCATCTGAAAACAGAAAGTGAAAAAGAAAGATTTATGAGCTACTATGTGAACAGCATCATGAAACCATCTATTTATTTGATTACTCATGTTACTAAATATTGTCGACGAGGGACTAAGGGATAGATGACTCAGAACCATTAAGAGCCCAACAAAAAAGAAAAAAAAAAAACAATGAATCAGATTCAATTGTGAAAAAACTCAAGCCTTGGTTTCTATGCAAAAAACAACTGCAGATGGGATAACTTTCAGTTCCACTTCCAAGATGCCCCGATTGACATGACCAAACCAAGGTTCAAAGTTTTGATACAGTTCGACATGCCAAATTGGATGTATAGGACTTTGTATCGACACTCTTATATTTTTTAGTTTTTTTTTTAAGGTGTGACTATAATATGAAAAAGATAAAATATCTGAAAAATAACTACCCAATAAAATGGAATCATAAACCTGATAGCAAATAAAATGTTATTTATCAAAATTCATGGATGGGTTTTAATTGGTCAAAACACATCATAGATTTACCCTTTTTTTCAATATGTTCAGAGGGTCAGCTAAAAGCCTGATTACCTCTAAAACAGGTCATACCCTGAAACTCCTTACATTTCGTATATCGGTGAATACTTATCGGTTGATACGTAACAAGATTTTGGACCTTGGACCAAACCACTGCAGCAGCATGAAAACAACCAGTATCTCTCATAGCAACAAAACCATATGATCCTTCCCAGACCCAGTCGTTTTTCAAATCCCCCATCCCGTGTCTTAGAAAAACCAGTTTCCAACCGATATACTAATCTTCTCTGTAAATCACCGAAGAATAGACGTCTTCACGTATTCCTGGCTCACTTGCTTCGATTGGTCTAATGAATGACACAAAATACCCGATGATCACTGGCTTCGATTGGATAGAAACTCTGTAAGTTCACGATCGAAGTTATAATTATTTTTAGGCTTTTTATAGTCCACTCCACCTCAGAATTCATTTATTAATTTTCCTTAGCCTCAGAATTCATTTATTAATTGATTAATTCCCCAAAATGATATTTACCCCTCCCCGGTGAATTGGGAATCTTTTTCCTCGACACTGACCCGAATTGTAATTCAATCAATTTAACTCGGTAATAAAAAATGTAAGTCCGGTCAGGTTTCGTGGGATTAGGATACTCCTGACGAATTGGGATTAGCTGAATGCTTATGCATAGCAGGCTGTGAGAACAATAATAATACCCAATGATAAAATAAACGGGGCTCAGACTAAGAAGGAAAAAATACACCCGATTCATGGTTGTGGGGTATATTATACCCTATGTATTTTATAACTGATGTGGAGTAAGGTTTAAAATATCGATACAGGGCGATACTTTGGCGTATCGATACTGTTTTTTATGTTTTTTTATTTTTTGAAACTGATTCAGAGGGGGTGCTTTAAGGTCGGTCTACCCCCCAAATCACTAATCAACCCGAAACACCCCTTGTAGAAGCTTCTTTTTGATAAATATAAATGACAATATAATGGGTTCAGGGTGGGAATCATATATCTCATCCCTGATTCTGACTTTTAAATTAATCTCCATCCCCGACCCCAATCCTCATCAGGGAAAAAATTTAGCCTCCACCCTCAATCCCCAATGGAAGCAGATTCTCCATCAGGGATCCAAATCCTCACATTTTTTAATTAAAAGTTTGTTTTTTGAAAAGAATTTATTTAAAATAAAGGATAAAACTAAAATATAAATAATTTTATAAGTAACATAAATAATATTATATTTTTAATATATATACATATATTTAATATATACTAGTAAAAGTGTATGTGCATTTGCACATGACAGTATCTCTAAGACAAAACTATTTAAAATTTACGGGGCAGTTTCTGAACTTTCTTAAGTGGTCAGTTTCTAAACAGTTATAAGTGGGTAGTTTTTGAAGTAGGAGTAAATGACATATATATCCTCTTTATGCCCATTGTATCCTTGGACAAGGGGGTTAGAAAATGTCCAATGAAAATTCCATAAATAAGGGGCATTCACTCTTTTATAGGTAGTATAGGTAATTGGGATCAAGGTGGGGTGGGGACTTCATTCCTCATCGCTGTCCCCATCCCAGATTGGGCATCCCTTTTTAATCCCCATACCCAGCAAGGCAATCTCCATCATTGTCATCGTCAGGTCGGGGAGGCCAGGTACACAATGGGGATGAGGAATATTGCCATCCCTATTGATAGATACTACTGATATATATAAATTTAAGGTTTTATTTGATTTTTCTTAATTTATGGGAGAAAATGGTGAATATTTTTTTAAAATATGAAAAATGGAGGTATTTTTTGATCAATTAGGGTGTAAGAGAAAAGGGTAAATAAAGAAAATAATAAAAACTCAAATGGGTATTTTGATAATTTAATGTATTCCATTCGAGAGGGAGATATTTGTGATAAAATGAAAGTTTAAAGGGTATTTATTACAAATGAAAATTTGTGAGGATAATTGCCACTGATTCCAATAGACGCAAGGCATG